AGTGGTGAGTTAGTGCTAAGTGATGAAGGAACATCAGGATGGAAGTGGTGAGTTAGTGCTAAGTGATGAAGGAACATCAGGTTGGAAGTGGGGAATTATTTCTAAGTGATGAAGGAACATCAGGATGGAAGTGGTGAGTTAGTTCTAAGTGATGAAGGAACATCAGGTTGGAAGTGGGGAGTTAATTGTAAGTGACTATTAGGTTAATTCTAAATGATGAAGGAACATCAGGATGGAAGTGGGGAGTTAGTGCTAAGTGATGAAGGAACATCAGGATGGAAGTGGGGAGTTAGTGCCAAATGATGAAGGAACATCAGGTTGGAAGTGGTGAGTTAGTGCTAAGTGATGAAGAAACATCAGGATTGAAGTGGTGAGTTAGTGCTAAGTGATGAAGAAACATCAGGTTGGAAGTGGTGAGTTATTTCTAAGTGATGAAGGAACATCAGGATGGAAGTGGTGAGTTAGTTCTAAGTGATGAAGGAACATAAGGTTGGAAGTGGGGAGTTATATCTAAGTGATGAAGGAACATCAGGATGGAAGTGGTGAGTTAGTTCTAAGTGATGAAGGAACATCAGGATGGAAGTGGGGAGTTAGTTCTAAGTGATGAAGGAACATCAGGATGGAAGTGGGGAGTTAGTTCTAAGTGATGAAGGAACATCAGGATGGAAGTGGGGGAGTTAGTTCTAAGTGATGAAGGAACATCAGGATGGAAGTGGAACATCAGGAGTTAGTTCTAAGTGATGAAGGAACATCAGGTTGGAAGTGGTGAGTTAGTTGTACGTGATGAAGGGACATCAGGATGGAAGTGGTGAGTTAGTTCTAAGTGATGAAGGGACATCAGGTTGGAAGTGGGGAGTTAGTTGTACGTGATGAAGGGACATCAGGATGGAAGTGGTGAGTTAGTTCTAAGTGTGATGAAGGGACATCAGGATGGAAGTGGGGAGTTAGTTCTAAGTTATGAATTGACATAGGGATGGAAGTGGTGAGTTAGTGCTAAGTGATGAAGCGGCGTCATGATAGCAGTGGGAGTTGTTTCTAATTGATGAAGGGACATCAATAGTCCTATCAAAATTATTATTATTAATAATTCCGAAAATAATCCTGGGTTTTCATGAAAAATGCAACAATGTTCTAAACTTGATGTTTATCATATCAAAGGAATATATATATATTCCAGAACTCTAGCAAATATACGTCCAACTCATGAAAGTCTCAAAGCCAAATTAAACCATAGTTACAATCTCCATAAATGCAATGCTTACTTTGTATGCAAATACAGCAAGTTCATGACTTTCTGGTCATCATGCCACAACCTATTTACATAACCTATCCGATCTCACTTATCGTGTTTGTTTTCATTGTGCTGTATATATGCATAGTGTTGTATAGGAAGGATATAACTGTACCAAGCAAATCAGAAAAAAAGTGAAACAAAGAAAAGAAAAGATTATTATTATTATCAGAGCTTTGGACAGCTTCGAAAGTGCTGTCTCCTACTACAGAGTGGAAAGCTCTGTCATGGGTCAAAAATACCACCATACATATTGTTTAAATAACTGTTTTCAATAATTTTCCAATTACTTGAACATGAAAATACAAAAGAAATATGTGAGAGGATATAATATGATATCTTACAGTTAGCAAAAATCACCCCTGGTTTCTGCTGCTTCTGTGCTAAATCTGGTAATTATGAATGTGCAAGCTTGCACTTTTATTAAGTACAAATTTACTTAGGTGGAAATTATATTATTTGCAAAATGTGATGAAAATAACTTTCATATTTATTAACAGTATTGTTACACCTTTCAAATTGGGTATAACATGCAGTTGCTATGATATTTTAGAAGCTCATATTTTCTTTGATAAATGTCATCTTCATCTATCACCTCAGAGTCTCTGGGAACTCGATGTATGACAGTGAAAGCTTCAGGTGGACTGGTGTTGAGTTAAACTGATTCACAATCATATAGCTGGCATGTTGTACAGGGCAACAGAATATTTTCACTCTCAGTAATTTATGCAAAATATTTCTGAACCTTGACTGATGAACACTTACATGCCTTCTGTCATTCTTCTCAGACTGTTGTATCAATGGCTTGTACAAATTTCATTTATTAAATGTCAAAGTCTTGTCCATTCTGCCATCCCTGATCAGTTAGTGCAACAAGGAGATTCATTTGATTGATTTGTAGATTCGCATTGGCACAAACCCAACTATGTGATAAGTGATATCAACCTCGATTTTTTTTGCCAGAAATATTTCATTCCAAGATATTGAAATGCCTCTGTGATCTTCACACACCACCTCATGTCTGACATACATTTTATTCACCAGAACTATTACACCATCTGGACAAACACCATCCTACCCTGTCCTACCTTGTCTTACCCAGTCCAACCCTTACAAACCCAGTCCAACCCTTACAAACCCAGTCCAACCCTTACAAACCCAGTCCAACCCTTACAAACCCTGTCCTACCCTTACAAACCCTGTCCTCCCCGGTCGAACCCTTACAAACCCAGTCCAACCCTTACAAACCCAGTCCAACCCTTACAAACCCTGTCCAACCCTTACAAACCCTGTCCTACCCAGTCCAACCCTGTCCAACCCTTACAAACCCTGTCCTACCCTGTACAACCCTGTACAACCCTGGCTTACCCTGTCCTACCCTGTCCAACCCTGTCCTATCCTGTCCAACCCTTACAAAGCCTGTCCTACCCTGGCTCACCCTGTCATACCCTGTTCAACCCTTACAAACCCTGTCCTACACTGGCTTACCCTGTCCTACCCAGTCCAACCCTAACAAACCCTGTCCTACCCTGGCTTCCCCTGTCCTACCCAGTCGAACCCAGTCCAACCCTGTCCAACCCTTACAAACCCTGTTCAACCCTTACAAACCCTGTCCTACACTGGCTTACCCTGTCCTACCCAGTCCAACCCTAACAAACCCTGTCCTACCCTGGCTTCCCCTGTCCTACCCTGTCCAACCCTGTCCTACCCTGTCCAACCCAGTCCAACCCTGTCCAACCCTGTCCAACCCTTACAAACCCTGTCCTACCCTGTACAACCCTGTCCTACCGTGTCCAACCTTTACAAACCCTGGCCTACCCTGTACGACCCTGGCTCACCCTGTCCTACCCTGGACAACCCTGGCTCACCCTGTCCTACCATGTCCAACCCTCGCGTACCCAGTCCAACCCTGTCCAACCCTTACAAACCGTGTCCTACCCTGTCCTACCCTGTCCTACCCTGTCCAACCCTGTCCAAAACATGCCTACCCTGTCGTTCCCTGTCCTATCTTGTACAACCTTGGCTTACCCTGTCCTGTCCTGTCCAACCCTGGCCTACCCTGTCCCTTTCTTGGCCTACCCTGTCCTACCCTGGCTTACCCTGTCCTATCCTGTCCAACCCTGGCCTACCGTGTTCTATCCTATCCAACCCTGTCCTACCCTGTCCTATCTTGTACAACCCTGGCTTACCCTGCCCTGTCCTGTCCTGTCCAACCCTGGCCTACCCTGACCTACCCTGTCCTATCCTGGCCTACCCTGTCCTGCCCTGTCCTACCCTGTACAACCCTGGCTTACCCTGGCCTACCCTGTCCAACCCTGTCCTACCCTGTCCAACCCTGGCCTATACTGGCCTACCCTGTCCAACCCTTACAAACCCTGTCTTACCCTGTCCTACCCTGTCCAACCCTGTACTACCAAGTCCAACCCTGTCATACCCTGTCCTTTCCTGTGTGAAGCCCATTCTTGGTGCCCCCGCTGTGATATAGCTGGAATATTGCTAAAAGTGGCGTAAAACTAAACTCTCTCACTCACCTATGACTTGTTTAGTGCAGGACCTGCAAGATCGATAGTGCCATTATTTGTTTACCCTTAAAGGTCACATGCAACGTAAAACACAACTTTGCAGATTCTGATACCTTTCGGTATGGACATACCGAAACAAAGCGTCAAAAATGCGAATTCAACTTATAAAGTTGAAAAATAACGCGATGAAAAAAAACGCGCGAAATCGGAGTTCAAACGTTTCACTAATTTTCCCCAGACTTTTCTGGGGAATACGGGTTTCAACAGCTGGGCTGCGCTCATAGCACGTGCGCAGTGAAATAGGTTCGCGCAACTTGGAAGCGGGCTGTCTGGTGAATACTCGGTGAAGGCTTTGGTGTGAGCTATTTTCATAATGTTTTGTTGATATCTCACAAGCGCGAACTTTATATATGTTATGACGGTAAATAAACTGTTTATATAATTTCATTTGTCTATTTCACCACACGTTCTTCTTACCGAGTCATTTTCTCAGTTCGATACTTAAAAGCAATGTCATTATTTAGCGTTGACACAATTTCTAACTGTGATATAGATATGTCGCTGTCACAGACAAAACTCAATGTCTTGTTTTATTGACACCTGTGTGTCAGCCTGCCTGTCTGCTAATGACAATATTCAATAAACAACTGCGATCACTGACCACATGCAATTTGAAATTAACACCAATCAGGCTATACACCATAAACAAAACGCATTGATTTATGGCCCGAGTTCGGTCTCTGTCACATTATGTAATTACACAGACAGGCAGGTGTGATACTTGAACACATGACATGTTATGATGTCTGTTGATTGCAAAATGTTATACACAAAAAATGAGCATGTATTTACAAAACCCAACATCTCTATATATACACACACAATGACCCGTGAAGGCGGCATCTGCTAATGAACCAGCCGTTACACTTGAGTGCACACCCACCCGCTCTGACTGGGTTCGGTATCCCGGCTGCTTCGTTTCGAGGGAGGTAAACCCAAGTACAAAATATTGCACTTTTGATTTGCGATTATACGCTTATATTTTTGTTTATTTGTTTTTTCATAATCAGCAATGCATATTATATGTCATGAAGAAGTGATAATTGTGTTTTACTTATGTTTGATGTTTTGGTTGCATGTGACCTTTAAGTGTAACAGTTGTGAACAGCAGTGTTCCTTGTTTACAGGTATTCAGCAGAGGAAATTGAGGGGAAGGTGTCTGTGTTCCGGAAAATGTTGATGGAGAAGGAGGGTGTGTCCGAGGTCGCCGTAGACAAGGATGAGTTTGGACGACCTGTGTAAGTACTTACATACCATATTCAGATCAGACATAAGACTCATGGCCCCCATGTTGCAGCTGCTGCAGAAAAGCTGCAATGCCTACATATACATGTGTATATTTGAATTGAGACATGTTATTTATGTGTTTTTGTTTACAAATATTTGGAATATATAATGCATTAATGTGGAATATATCATCATTTTCATATCAGTCTTTTTCTGTTTGCCTTCAGTCTTGTTTTAAGTTTAGGTCAGCTACAGAGGCTAGCCTTTCAACTTTTCATTAAAAAATAATTTGTTTTGATTTGTTTTCTTTAGCCTGACAATTGAGGTTACTTTATAAAACTTTTAAATGTTCTTATTTTCATCACTGACAATGTTTACAATACCTGTGTCCAGATATTTCTGTTAATCCTTTCTCTGTTTTCTGTGACCATGCATGGGACACAATGGGATGCCCATCTTTCCTGTTACAAAAGTAACACTACAAAAGTTACTATTAAGCCATAAAAGATTTCATCTTTTTTCTTAAAACATAAGATACTGCTCTAAGATGTTAAGTATTAACCAATCATTATGTGACTGTACATATGGCATATATTGCTGAGCCTACTGGGTTCAGCTGACAGACTATTACAGTATTACACAAGCAATGGCTTAATGGAGTGTGCCCTGCACTGCTGACCCTGCGTTTGTAACCTCTAATTACCGACGGCTGAGGCAGATGAATATCCCCTGCCAAAGTGCTGATAATGACCAGTTTCAGATTTATACCTGTGACTTAAATTGAATATTTCCTCTGAACTTAATCATGAATTATGAAGCCTTCATTTGCAATTCGTTTCATCTGCCCTCAACCTCAGGTGTGAGTGTAAAGAAACCTCCTTTGTGATGGATGATTGGACCTATCCAGTCACCTGCTTGCCCATAAAACTTTCTTGTGTATGTACATTGCCCTTCCCCATTTCCTACTTGGCCTGGCTTGTTGCATAAGGAATGAGTGCTTGTCATCAAAATAAAGATGTTTAACTTCTGAAAGGGTGCTTTGTGGATGTAGGTCCATCAACGACTTACATATGTCTAAGCGTCATACCAAAAGACGTTAACATATGGTACTTGTTGGTCCCTGCCTGGCGCTCGGCATTAATGGGTACAACAAGGACTTGTCGGCTCGGAGCCAGTATAATGTGTCTGAGTGGGGTATTCATGCTTCACTGCGGCATGGTATCTCAGTGGGCTAGCACTATAAAACCAGCTTCAGTCTGGGCTAGTACAAGCAGCCGCACATACACATACACACGCATGCACGTTGTCATGTGAGCGAAATATTTTCAAGCACGACGTTAAACCCAATTTCACCTCACCTCACATATTTCATTTTCATATTTCTCATTGGGGGATGCCTTTGAAAAATTACACTTTTGATGTCATTAAATCTGAAATCTGTAAAACATATTTTGAATGGTTTCCTCATCTGAGTGGTAATTATAACATTGGTTAAAATTGTGTAAAAAACATGAATTTCTCCAGTGAAAAGCCTTTTTAAAACTACTCCAGGCTTCATCCTAGATGTTACCTCTGCTTGTCGCTGGCCACGTAGCTCAAAGCAACCTGCAAGAAGAGAACAGGTTCATCCCGAACACAGCCGTGTGGAGGGATAGCCCAGTGGTTAAAGCATTTGTTTGTCACACTGATGATCCGGGTTCGATTCCCCACATGGGTACAATGTGTGAAGCTCATTCCTGGTGTCCCCTGCTGGAATAAGTGACATAAAACTATACTCACTCACTCACCCACTAGCCTAACACAGGGTGGGTCTAATATCCCTAACACAGGCTGGGTCTAATACACAGGCATTGCCCCTAACATTAACACAGGCTGGGTCTTATACACAGGCATTGCCCCTAACACAGTCTGGGTCTTATACACGCTGGATCTGTAACACAGACTGGGTCTTATACACGGTGGATCTGTAACACAGACTGGGTCTTATACACGGTGGATCTGTAACATAGACTGGGTCTTATACACGGTGGATCTGTAACACAGACTGGATCTTATACACGGTGGATCTGTAACACAGACTGGGTCTTATACACGGTGGATCTGTAACATAGACTGGGTCTTATACACGGTGGATCTGTAACACAGACTGGGTCTTATACACTGTGGATCTGTAACATAGACTGGGTCTTATACACGGTGGATCTGTAACACAGACTGGGTCTTATACACGGTGGATCTGTAACACAGACTGGGTCTTATACACGGTGGATCTGTAACACAGACTGGGTCTTATACACGGTGGATCTGTAACATAGACTTGGTCTTATACACGGTGAATCTGTAACATAGACTGGGTCTTATACACGGTGGATCTGTAACATAGACTGGGTCTTATACACGGTGAATCTGTAACACAGACTGGGTCTTATACACGGTGGATCTGTAACATAGACTGGGTCTTATACGGTGGATCTGTAACATAGACTGGGTCTTATACACGGTGGATCTGTAACACAGACTGGGTCTTATACACGGTGGATCTGTAACACAGACTGGGTCTTATATACGGTGGATCTGTAACATAGACTGGGTCTTATACGGTGGATCTGTAACATAGACTGGGTCTTATACACGGTGGATCTGTAACACAGACTGGGTCTTATACGTCGAATCTGTAACATAGACTTGGTCTTATACACGGTGGATCTGTGACAGACTGGGTGTTATACACGATGGATCTGTAACACAGACTGGGTCTTATACACGGTGGATCTGTAACACAGACTGGGTCTTATACACGGTGGATCTGTAACACAGACTGGGTCTTATACACGGTGGATCTGTAACATAGACTGGGTCTTATACACGGTGGATCTGTAACATAGACTGGGTCTTATACACGGTGGATCTGTAACACAGACTGGGTCTTATACACGGTGGATCTGTAACACAGGCTGGGTCTCTTACACAGATTGGATCTCTAACACAGACTGGATTTGTAACAAAGACTGAGTGTCTAATACAGGGTGGATCCCTAGCACATCATTGTACCTTATGAGAACATGATAGGTAATCAAAGAATAAATTGGCATTCCAGGAAGTGCTATCCAAAACATGGTGTTCGGAAGTTTCCCTCTCTCGATTTTTTTAAATATCTGAATAATTGTAAAAAATTCTTCATATTCACAGTAAGGAAAGTTGCTCCTTCACTGATGATGTTTGCTGAAGTTGGTGATGATTTCATCGAATATTCATCAATAGGACTTGAGATGCTGCAGTTTATCACCTTTCATCCCCAAAGAAGAATGTATGGCATCCTTCCCTGTAAACATTGTGATGGGCTCCTAAGTAAATATGATCTACTCTCTGCTGGTACTGAAGCCATGCCTACCCAACACATGATAGCTGCTACACTGATCGAAGAAGACCAACATTGAGGGTTAGGCCCTGCTGCTGCACTGATTGTAGTTATCGCATGTGGCTTATCCTGACTTGTGGAGATAACCACAGTACCTGTCCGGTCCCACTTAAAACATTGTATTACACTGAAGGACTCCCTGCTGGAATGTCGCCCCCGGAAAAGAACATCTTTACCTTGTTGATTGTTCATGAAGCGACGTTATCAGGGGAACAAATATTTGCCATGTTAATGAAAAGTTTTAGTGAGAATTGACTGACGTGGCTGGTCTTTAAGAATTGCGACTGACATGTCTGTTTATCACCCCTATCAGAGCGTAATAATGAAGTTTGGCCAGTTAGGAAGGAGTCGGTATTGACCCTGATGTTTGTCATAACGTCTGTGCTTTGATAACATCACAACACTAACATTGGAAAGCAGCAGCAGTCACATGGGGAGGTAACTCTAACTTGCTGACTGCTGGCTGGCTGCTGTTTGTGCTACAGGGCTTCACTGAGTAGGCGTAACTAGGTGAACATTGTCTTGAGAGTCAGCGGCACAAGTTTTGTCATTGTCAATCTGCAAATCACTTGAAAATAAATGTTTGATTTTAGCCCTGAATAGCTTAGAAAGGCAAATATCAATCAAATTTTCACACCTCTTCTGAACTACATATAATATTGTAGTCCTGAAATTCTGTGAGTGTTACCATGATATCACTTGTTTTACAGGTAGTTTTTATCTTGTGATTTTGCCAGTGTTTATTATGGTGTTTATTTACATTGAATGTAGTGAAGCAAATATAGTTCAGTGCTATTGTGTATAAAAGCTTGTGTATTCAACCAAAGATGTAAATAACAAAAAGGATACAGTGCATCATTTTTAAAACAATGACCTAGGACCTTCAGTGGTGATGAGGCAGCACCATACTGGTAGCGCCATGCTGACTGGCATCAGTTCCTCGGGTAAGTGTGTCCCTGTATAGTGCATACCATATGGCAGGAAGTCATCAGGCCTGCAGTGTCGCTGTAAACCATGTGGCAGGAAGTCATCAGGCCTGCAGTGTCGCTGTATACCATGTGGCAGGAAGTCATCAGGCCTGCAGTGTCGCTGTATAGTGTATACCATGTGGCAGGAAGTCATCAGGCCTGCAGTGCCGCTGTATACCATGTGGCAGGAAGTCATCAGGCCTGCAGTGTCGCTGTATACCATGTGGCAGGAAGTCATCAGGCCTGCAGTGTCGCTGTATACCATGTGGCAGGAAGTCATCAGGCCTGCTGTGCGCTGTATACCATGTGGCAGGAAGTCATCAGGCCTGCAGTGTCGCTGTATACCATGTGGCAGGAAGTCATCAGGCCTGCAGTGTCGCTGTATACCATGTGGCAGGAAGTCATCAGGCCCGCTGTGTCCCTGTATAGTGTATACCATGTGGCAGGAAGTCATCAGGCCCGCTGTGTCGCTGTATACCATGTGGCAGGAAGTCATCAGGCCTGCAGTGTCGCTGTATACCATGTGGCAGGAAGTCATCAGGCCCGCTGTGTCCCTGTATAGTGCATACCATGTGGCAGGAAGTCATCAGGCCTGCAGTGTCGCTGTATACCATGTGGCAGGAAG